ATTGAACTTTTACAAACATTTGGCCTAACAAGCTTCCCCATAACATTCTTATAAAAATGAATCAACAACCAAGTAATGCTAACCAAATACTACCCTCACATGCCAAGCAAAAGAGCCTCCACCAGAGACCCTTCTGAGATACTTTTTGTTTGCTCAGTGCGAGGAGGAAGTTTAAGTAATGCTTGGGCTGATGCCATAGAAAGCAGTCGCGATGAGAGCTGATTTCCAGTAGAATATGCCATGGCAAAATCCTCTCCAGGTGCCCAGCATAAAGTGGCTCGGTGATACTCTGGCCGGGGATCGAGAGATATGGTGGAGGACAGCTATGGAGAGAGAAAATACTTAGTTATAATCAGTAGCTGTAAAATTAGTCAATCAATCACTCACTCACTCATTCACTCACTTGTATGTTCTTCACCTAAAAAGAGAACAAAATTTCACTAAATTCTTAACATACCACCATTCTAAAATCCATGATCTCTGCAAGCATTAGAACCTTGATGAAGATCATTCCCTCATTCAAACAAGGACATACCTTTACTTTTATACATGTGTTCTCAACAGCACTTCGACCACTCATTTTGCGACAGAGAGGGAGTAGGTAAAGGTTGGAGGTAACTATGGCTGACACTGGATTTCCTGGAAGTCCGAGAATTAGCTTCTTCTCCCCCTTATACAGGCATGTGGCAAATGTGGTAGGCTTTCCAGGTTTCATGAAGACCTGAAAACAGAGGGAGAGATAAAAGAACACAAATTTACAAAATAACACATCAATACTTCATGAAGAATCTTTTAGCTAAATAACGTAGGCACAGAACTCTTTGGTGCCGATTATTTGCTATTTTCGTCAATGATTTAGAGTCAAACATAAGCCCAGGTAATTATCTAAATATGTTTGCAGATGATGCATTGATAATAGACAATATCTCATGCCAATGCCTCCAAAGTGACATTGAGAATTTATTCATGTGGAATTATACTTGGAAAATGAAACTCAAGACTGAAAAATGCCACGGGGTTTTGTTCAGAGAAAGTAGAAATCATCCACAATTCCAATATAAAGTAAGAGACAATATCAAACACAGCTAACAGGGAAAAAAACCTTGGGTTAATCATAAATAGGAACCCAAGCCCAAATGATCATATAAATGAAAAGGTCCATAAAATGCTAGGACTGATTGCCACACACGCACACACACACACACACTCACAGATTAGCTGCTTCTACTAAAGAAGGCTACTATGTCAATTTTTTTTTTTAGACAACATTCAAACCAGTGGTTCCCAACCTTTCCTATTATGTGGCCCGCGACAATATATAATAATCTCCATTGTCCTGTCTAATGTCTATCATCATCATCATGGAGCTAACGCCAATGGGGGTGCATAGCCGCATCCATCCTTTATTCATACCTACGAGGGTCCCTCAGGGCAAGCTGCCAGGCAGGGACTCGGCCTATCTCAAGCTCCCCACAACAGGTTTGATCAATCTATTCAAGCCACGACTTCCTATGTTGTCCCACAGGCAATGTCTATCATCTTTTCAAATTCAGTTATTACTAGTCATGAACAGTGTAATTGATTTGTGATATGTAACCGATAATGAGAGATATAATTCAGTTCAAGTCAAAATCAAAATTTGGTCCCCAGCAAGTACCCTGTGGCCCCAGGTTGGGAACTCCTGATCTAAACTTTTAACTCTATATGCCAATCTTTTAATTCTAAAGACCTTATTTACTCACATCTATACATCACTGGATATCTAAGTGGTTCTTTTATATTTGGAACACTGTCACCTCGATCTTTTTCTAATTGCTCATTAATAATTTTTAGAAAATAAAACCCTAGAATATTTTATGTCTTATCAAAAAGGAAAGAAAAAAGGGTAAAATTCATACAAACTCTGACTTGGCATAAAAATTCACCCCTAGGATGCTCCCATGCAACCAAACAGGCAGTACATCCTCTTAAGTAAAACTCACCTGTGCAAAATGAATCTCTGCCCCAAAATCTGAAGTGAGCACAGGCCGCAGAATGTCCCGTTCTCCCATGGATACACTGCCCGTGGTGACCAAGATGCTTGCCTGGTCCAGAGCTTTCCGAAGAGCTGCAAGCAATAAGGTAGGGTCATCCTTGGCAATCCCTGCATCTACAACTGGGATGTTGTGTTGATGCAGGAGGGATACGAGGGTTGTCTTATTGCTGTCGCGAATGTGTCCTTCCTTTAATTGCTCTCCTGGTTCCTGGAGCTCATTACCTGCAAAGACCAAGAGTCATAAGCAATGGAATTACATTCCATCACAAGTATGTCTGAAGCACAATATGTTAAGTTATATAAATGCATATCTATATTCATATGTATTAATTAGCATGCACAAGTATAAATATATACATATGAACACCTGCATAAATAAAGATACACACTAAGCTAGTTATCCTAATTTTATTACATATCTATGCATATTACTTTCTTTGTACCATAAAAAGCCTAAGCACTTCAAACTGGCACCGTCATTAAACACTAACCTGTTGACAAGACTGCTACAGTTGGTTTATTTATAACAGCAACATGTGTGACTCCTACGGTAGCAAGGAGACCCATTTCAGGGGGACCAAGAAGAGTTCCTGAAGCAAGAACCTTTTCCCCGACTGCAATATCACACCCTAAAGGACGGATATCCTGACCCACAGAAGGTGCCTTGAGGAGTTTTATCTCAAGTTCAGTTTTGCCATCTTCACTCTCCTTAACAAGCTCTGTGTCCTCTACCTAAAAAAAAAGAAAGAAAAGCAGGTGGAAATTTAATTGCTTTTATCTTTTTTTCTCAGCACATGTTCAATACTTCAAAGTCCATCAAGGAACTTACGATATACTGGGCATTTACCTGTATAACAGCATCAGCACCTGGTGGCACAGGAGCACCAGTGTTAATTCTGATACACATACCACTGGTCACTTTATAATCTTCAGGTCCACAACCAGCTGTTGCATCTCCTCCAACCTTGCGGATACCTGCTCCATCCTGGGAGACGATTGCATAACCATCTTTTATAGAAGCCGGGAAAGGAGGTAGTGGGTCTTTGGCAAAGATGTCCTCTGCAAGCACAAAGCCTAGGGCCTCATGCATAGGAAGGGTCTTTGTAGAACCCTTCTCTGCATGTGATAATACAATCTCAGTGGCTTGGCTGACAGAAATCATTGGATATGGAGACTTCCTGGGACGTCTGCACACTGTTGTAACATCTGCCTTTGACTCACTATTCCCAGATTCACTTGCATGATGATGGTGATGTCCCTGGTGATGGTGGTGGTGATGGTGACCATGACAGTGAGGCTGGTGAGATGGGTGGTGGTGGTGATGATGCCCATGTCTAGTTTTTATTCCTTCTGCTTGTAGCTGCTCATGGGTCTTTTCTACAGCTGTCTTCTGTCCCGTAAGAAGGTCAATGGCATGGGGAATTGCTGGAGCAATGAACCTGTGGGTAATAAAAATTTATTGCACATGCATTCTATCACCTTAATATAGAATATCCATGAACAAAAATCAGTGTGGATCTATACAATTCATAATTACTGTCATTATATGACATTACAAAATCTGATTTAAAAATGAATCAATATTTTCCTGTGCACTAGTATCCCTGCTGTGCAAGACGGCATATTTCTAAGATGGAAAAGCCAGTTGAGATCTCACCACTGATTTGAATACCCTATCTATTTTTCTTAAATGTTTATCTCATACAAACACTTGGAAGAATTCTTACAAGAATTAAGTGACTGCTCCAATATGAAAATATCAAATCAATTTATCTGTGCATTCAAAGTTCTTTAAACATATATACAGTATAAACCTGAAGCCAAATAAAGAAAATATTGCATATACATTTCAAAATAAGAAACAGAAATGTAGGAAAGCATTAATGATATAGGAAATTTATCTGAGGCACAATTATATAATCTAACTTCGCATCAGTATCAATACATAAGCTCCAGCATAATCTATTTATAACCATACCTTAAAACAAAACTTCTTCAGCCAAGGTACAGAAATTCTTGAATTTATAATAAGGGAGAAAAAATGTATAAAGATGAGGATTCATGTAAGAAAAAGAATACCTTGAAGAAATCTGAATAAAAGATATCTAACTTAAAACAAGTAAATATATATAAATAACTTTCCAATTTGTGCAAAGTTTAACGTCTTAATAGTTTTACAAACCAGGCTTTATTAACAATCATTACATCATTTCAACATACCTTAGACATTCTTCAGATCCCTTCTTGCTCCCTGGCACGGTTACAATCAAACTCTTCGAGCGGTACCCACACACTGGACGTGATAACATGGCAAGTGGGGTAACTTTGAGCGACTGTGTCATCATATTTATACACATGCCAGTTGCTTCCCTTTCAATTACCTAGAGATAACAAGGATAAAAAATTAGTAACAACAAAGAATGGGAATTTAATGAAGTTCTATTAAAGTCTAAAATAGATGCACCAATACTAGACTACATGTATTTTTTCTATTATCATATTCATATGCAACAACTAGGTGGCCGTACTCCACCAACAAGCATGAACGAAACCAAAAACAATATTGAAAGCTACATGAAAATTGATGAAAAAGCAACATACGTCCATCTCAATCTCAAACGCACTATTACAAATTTATTTACATGGATTCACTTCTTCCCGTACCTCTTTCACAGCTTCTGGAGTTACATCCCGTGGCGCTGCTCCAGTCCCACCCACAGTAACGATCAGATTAACTTCTTTCTCATCACACCACTTGAGTAACATCTCTTTTATCTGGTCCACTTCATCAGGAACACAGCAATACTCAACCACCTGGAGTAATTTTAAAGAGCTAGATAGTTATTTGATACTTCTGCATACCTCTGAATATCTATCTTAGATTTGAGTAAACACAAAGTAAGTCTTGTGTAATTAATCTTCTCACATTCTGCATATCCTCATATTTTTATGATGTGTGCTATATTCCTATTAGTAACATTCTACCAACCTTGCAATTCTACAAAAACTTACAACATACAGCTGAATTATGCTCCCTATCTTAACCCTTTGAATCCAAGTAAGGTGACCACCACATGAAAAAATATGGCTTAAGGGTAGGGTAATGCGAAAATTTTGGCTGAGGACCAGGGTGATGGGAATGACTCACCATAAGTGCATAGAGTTCTAGCTGGGTGATTAAACTCAGTGGGCATTTAGAAAGGAGATTTTATATTTTTCCTATTGGTAAATAAATGTAGAATGTATTGGAAGAGCACTGGCTATAGAGAAGACAGTATTATTTCCATGCTCAGGATCCTATTCCTGCCTCCATGACCGACAGCATAGGATGCATTACAGAAAATTGAATATTACAAAATCTTTTCAAAATTACACAAATATCAAAATGTTACCTATTGTTATTATTACTGCACTGAAATAATATGGAGTCTTTGAAAGGAAAACAGTGTATTACCATCTGGATACAGCATTTCAAATAGCAAATATAGATAATGGAAAACAGCAAAAAAATAAAAAGGCTTATTCAGAAATAACATTGCAAATGTGGAGGCAAAGAGTCTTGATACTGAACAAGACTGTGTGTGCAGGGCTTACAAGCCACAGCACCTGTGAGAGTGGCCATTCAAGTAAGCCAAATGCCTGAATTTTAGGTCAGATATGGCCAGAAAAGTACCTGGATCTAATGGATTAGCACACCCCATAACTACCAAAAAATACAATAAAGAAATGTCCAACTAATATGTGCAGAAGAATGTCTTAAAATATATTTTTATAATACAACACAAAAAGGTATGGGTACAATGTGACATGGATAAGGGCTCACAGTCATGACATCAACAGTATCCATTGATCTTGTATGTACCTGTCCTCGGAAAAGAGTGTTCTTGGCTACGAGGTCCTTCAGATTTGCACCTGCTGTATCCTCCGCCTCCCCACGGGAACACCGGTCACTCACAGTCAGTATTCCAACCTTTATCTCTGACATTGCTGGGTGGCTAGTTCCTAGGTAAAGAGAAATATTGTTAAATCCTAGTATAGAAAAAAAAAATACCAATGAGCAAGGAGCTGGGGCTGCTGACACAAAAGCCTGCGGTTTGCACATGTAATGAACACTAAATTCATTCTAAATTTTGTCTGTAATATCTTACCGTCATAGATAAAAAATTACCCATATTTCGTACCATCCAAAATAACCAAATGCAAAAATCCGATGGCTGATTTCTGCAGACTATTTTTGGTATCTGATCAACAGACTTCTATAATACACAATCCATCAGTATCTTATTCATTAGTACCCTCAATCAACAATATACAGCTTTTTAAAAAAATTCCCGAATTCCCAAATCATAAACAAAAAATTGCTATAAATTACTATGACGCTTTGCTTACCTTTTAGGCCTAATGTTAAAAGCTTGGCATGACTTATATAACAGTCATATCTTCCCGTCACGCATTATGAAACCTTCAAAACTGTAATTTCTCGATATAACAATGTATAATTAACAAGAACATTATAATCTTTAAATACCTTTCATTACAGAGCTATGAATCGGCTGAAAATAGTTAAAAATATTCTTCTAGAAGTATATTAACGATTCCCAAGCTCTGACAGCTTATGTATCTGACTGAAATAAAATATCATGTGGACATAAATACTAAATATATGTAAATTCATTGTCACTTACAATACTGAGAGCAGAGAAATAGGAAATACAGACTCCCCAGAGAAGTGTTTTCGCTCTGTCACGTTTGCGTGTCAGCTGATCGCGGGGTAAACAACGGAGACTTTGTGACGTCACGACCACTCGCGAATAGAGTTACCATGTATGCGTGTCTGGGTATGTACATGCATATATATATATATATATATATATATATATATATATATATATATATATATATATGTATGTATAATTATAAACATAATTATAAATATATATATATATATTATATATATATATATATATATATAATATATATATATATATATATATATATATAATATACTAAATATATATATAGATATATATATATAATACATGTATATATTATAAATATACACACATATATATATGTATATATACATAATATTATTATTATGTATATATAATATATATATATATATAATATATATATATATATATATATAATATATATATATATATTTGCAAGAAAACCCACACATGCATGCACAACTAGATTTATTGATGGAGTGCACAGACATGATAGAATATTTATAGTATACTATGTATGTACTATATACACATAGTACAATGTATCATGTATATGTATATGATATACATATTATATATATGTACATATATGCTACATATATATGACATATTATATACAATATATATGTACATATACTATATATATCATATAATATATCACACTATACATATATTATATATATATATAATATATATATATATATAAGTTAGTATATAACAAACATGATATAAATATGGTGTGTGTGTGTGTATCTATGTGTAAAATAGTAATATATACATACACACACACACACACACACACACACACACAACAATCACACCAAATATTATATATGTATTTAATATTGTCATTATATTATTATATTTATGTTTTTATATTTATATATATATATATTTTGTCTATGTATTTATGTAATAGTATATACTAGTGAGTGATTATATAGATATATATATAATATTTAGTATATCATTGTACTATAGGTATGACCTGCGTTTGCCTATGTATATACATATTATATTTATGTTGTATATTACTATAAATAATATACTAATATATATGATATAAATATATATCCATAGTGGTATATAGGTAATATAATATATATATTAATACTTATATATATATAATTATATATATATACTATATATAATGAATATTATGTATTATAGTTATAATCTATATAAGAATATGTGTTATAGTGTGTGATGTATATATAATTACTAGTTAATTTCTATATTGATGTATTATTGTATCTATATATCGTATATCTATATCTTATTATTGTTATCATACCATGCGATATATGTATAATAGTGTAGATACATATTATATTCTAGATATTATTATTTATCATTACTATGAATTCAGGATTATTATTATTGCAATTTCCGTTTCTTTACCGAATATTACCTTTCCTGGTAAAAGTAATTCATAATGTAGTTGATTCATACATTGGAAATTTGTTTCTTTTTATTTATCATGAAACAAGATTTCATTATGACTTCTCTTCGATCGGCAGAGTATTAAGATAATATGGCTTACATCTCATTTTATTTATATTCCGAAAACAAGCGCCAATTTAATAGTCGTTCGTGCTCGACAAAGTGCTTCAACTCAAATTCCACTGTGATAGCCTGCTGAACTGTATATCAATTTCTGGACCATCCCAGGGAAATGAAAGTCATTACATCAAATCATTAAAAGTATTTCAAAATGTGCGGGTGCTTTCATATGAAATATAGTTAATTTGAAAACTCATTGGCCGAATTTTCTCAACTTTTCACAAGTCACTTTACTGTTGATTAAGATTAAGTTCTTCATTTACTCACATCCCCTGAAACGTTCAACTTTACTATGCATTATTGAGTCAAATTACGTAATTTGATTATAGCGTATAATGCGCTTATATGTATTTTGGTACCAAGAGTTTAAGCGTTAACTCAATGAATGTCTATTATATATTTCGTCGAGTGAAAAAGACGTTATGGTGCGTGTTCCTGGATTGCGGACGTTCGTTAGTCCATACTTTGTGGATAACGAGCTTAAAATTTCTTTCGCTAATGATTTTTTTCCCTCTCAATAGAGTGTTCATTTGGCTAAATGATTACTGTTTATATCCATACATCTGAATTAATCAGCAATTAATATGCGAAAGATCATTGGAAAATAATCATTGTAAAATACAGCATCGATATATAAAATTGAAGACTTTAGATAGAAAAATCGTGCAAAATATCAGGTTGTTTAGTGTCAATCCTTTTATTAGTCACTTCTTTTGTCAAGGTAATTCATAAGACTTAAAAGAGAGAGCATAAATGATTTTATTGATTAAGGCTCGTCAACAAACCAGTATTATCTCGCGAAATTGCGAAAAGACGGCTGAGTACAATTCTCCTTTACTTTTAGCTTGTGTTTTCGGGTGCTATACTTGGCTTATTTTTTAAAAAATTCATGTAACATTATTATTTCTTTGAATCTGTGTTTTCTCTTCAAACACAACTCGTGAAACACAAACACACATTATTAATGAAACTGCCAAATAAAAAAAGATAAATAGTAATAATAATAATAATATGAAACAAAATATGAGTGCAAAATAAAAAACGTAAATCCCCTTGTGAGCCTGAAAAAAAAGAATGGGATATTTCTGTTTCATCTGAAGCTTCTTTCGAGGTTTGTCCTTTGAGTTGGCACAATAGGTGATCAGATGGGCGTTAAAGTAGTTGTTTTTCAGGCCACATCTACCCGTATCCTGGGTCTGTGTGTTTTAGGGTGTGCTTTCAATCTCCACTTGGTCCTTCAGTGCTGCGCACGTCACGAATCTCGTTCTTGAGACACTTTCTCTGCGAAAAAGTAAAATTCCTTCTTCCCGATGATTCAAAATTACTGTCTACAGATACATTTGCAATCAGCTATGTATATGTATGTAAACAGTATGTGTGTATGCACACACACATAAAAATGTGTTTATTATATACATATATATATATATATATATATATATATATATATATATATATATATATATATATATATATACATTATACATGTATATCTACATATTTATATATAACACTCACACCCACACCTAAACACACACACATGCACATATATATAAGTATATATATGTATGTATACATATAATCCTTTTCCATAATGGTGACGTTCGGTCTGCCACATTATATCAGGTCATACCAGGATGGTTTCAAGAATTTTCATGCTTAATCTATTTAGAAATGGGAAAATACCTCAATATTGCCTTTAACACTTTATTTGTAACATACCATCTGAAGTCATAAAAAATTCAGCCAACGGAAAAAAATCCGGTGACGTCACCATCTGTCGGTCGTCTTTTGTTTCCGTTTAGCAGACGAATTTCCGCAGAATTCCAGCCCTGACCGAAATTGCATTTGTAAAATCAGTGCTGGAATTCTACGGAAACTCGTCTGCTAAACGGAAACAAGAAACATCTAATACATTTTCCATAAAGAAATATGAGTGCATTTTATGTTGTTGAATGTTGTTCCATTATTGACTTGATAATGTATTTATTGTATATTGTTTTATGCAGTGTAATTAACAAGAAAGTAAAGATGAGAATCCTATAATCATTAGACTCTGATCCTATGCACTGTAACTATAATCTAATATTCATCCGTTTATGACAGTAAAGTTCAATTCTATTATTCCTATCCACTTGCTTTATCATCTAATGTTTAGAAAATGCAGAAATGTTGCTACGAAGAGCGGCCAGCCCTGTTTGTAATCATCTAAGCTTTTCGTAATATATCATCGCTCGCCTAATCATAACGTTAAGACCAAATTATAAGAAAAAAACAAATAAACAAGCAACTACCAAATCACAAACAGACAACTTACCATTGCAAGTGTATTTCAGATTAATCCAAGTAATTCGATATTCGTCTATGCTCGATACCCCAAGACGACCTCCCTTCAGTTCGTCGTTGTAAACGTTTCCGGAGTCAGTTAACAGTTTCCCGTTTTCTGTAATGTAGACCCTTATGAGCCCGATGCCCGGTCGATGGGACACTCGGAAGTTGTAGTGTACGTTCGGATTCCAGGTGGCTCTGCTGTCGAACCATAGTAGAGTAGTCTGTGTGGGGGTTCGTGAAGAATGGTTTAAAGGGGGGTGAAGAAAAATGTGTGTATGTATGTATATATATACACATATAAGTAAATAAATAAATACACAGACACACACACATAAATATATATATTTAAATGTGTGTACATTTGTGTCTGCGTGTGTGTGTGCGTGTGTGTGTCTGTGTGCGTGCGTGTGTGGTCTTCCCTACTCTCCATCACCTATGCACAACCCAAGGAGTACCTCGCCCGGAGTGCTGACGGTGTTGTACAGAGCGTTCTGAATGTCTTGCTCATTCTCTTTCGTGCTGGTTGAAAGGTTCACGAGCTTGAGCTGTGTCCCTGCCTTTGACTCTCCGACGTTGTAAGTCTGGAAGGCTTTCTTCATGTTCACCAGGTAACTTTTGTCGAAATCTTGATAGCTTTTAGGGATCATATTGATAATTAAGATCATTCGTGTCTGACAGTCAGACTATAATTTGTTTTAACCAATTTCTTGTGCTTTTGAGAGAATGTGAATGTGAAATTTCCGAAAGAAATTTTTAGTAGTGTATATCTATCTTTTTACATCAAGTTATCGAAGAAATGTTATCTAAATATACCATACCATATCTTATAATATATGAAGCATTTCGGACCATGCTATTTTTTTTTTTTTTTTTTTTTTTTAGCGAGAAATGAGTTCTGATTTATTTCATGTGCGAGATAACGCATATTACACTTATAGCCAAACTTTCCCACGCTTCTTATCCCTCCCCGCGTTGTTCCGTGGCTAAACTTTGCGGGTGCTGCAAAGTAAGGTTTTATTTTTTTTCTCTGCGGCCACACAGCGTCTTAAAGAAACACCCGGGTAAGGAGTTGTCAAGCAAAGTCGAAATAAGAAATAAGAAGTTAGGTGTGGCGAGGCCTTGTCTTACTTCGGCTTTGTGGCCAAGGGTAAGTGATCAAAGCCTGGATTCAATAACCTTGTCTGAATCCGAGATCAGGTTCAAAGTAGGGATTTTTTTCCTACTGGCTGTGTCCGGGCGCGCTCTCTGTGGAACTATGGGAGCCAACCTAGGGCGTTCTTTGGCCAGCTTCTAATAGATTTTCGAGGGCAAAATGGAATATAATTCATTATTCTTTTTAGAACTTATCTAAAGCCTTTACGTATTATTTTTCAATTGTTACGCACCTGAACCCATTCTGACTCCACGGGAATCAGATGGACTGAGGAAGGACTCCCTTTGCTCTCGCCGTCGGTTCATGTAAACGGGAATCTAGGTTAAATATATTCGTTCTTACGTCTACATATACTAGTATCATCACAAGAACCTATACGATTCCACTGCAAAATGTAGGTATCTCCCAATTCATGTTTGGGAGGAAAAGCAGCCGACATACCACCCACGTGCTGACCTAAATTTGTCTTGATGGGGGTGTATAATTCATTCGGGAAACTGTCAATCATCCCTACTCGCATGGCTTTCGTAATTGGAACGCGTAAAGCTAGTCACCACGTCCAGGTATACACAGAGGCCGTTCTTTTTACTGATTAGTTTATCTCCAAGCTTTGGTTCCCACAAACAAGACAGGAGAATATCTTAGTCATTGCAATAAGAAAATTCGTACTCTCTTTATCCTTAATTCAACTAAAAATCGTATTTTTCGGTCTCTTTTAAGGAAAAAGATAATAAACTGGTAATGAAGGCAGTGAATTATTATTTCAAAAATATATATGGAAGTAAAAAAGAAAAAGAAAAAGGAAATATGTAACGTAAGGATTTGTGCTAACAGTGATTCCCAACCTGAAACCTATGTAATAATTTTTCATATTCCAAGGAACCCTTATATATAGGATATATAATACAATATAGACTAAAGAATGTACTGACTGGCACCTACGTATTATTGAGAAGGAATTGTGAATTATGAATTCAAATCAATCTCATTTTATAGTAGCACATAATTACCTTCTGACTTTTTTGTTTGTCAATCTATCTATCTATTTCTATCTATCCATTTTTCTAACGATACATTTCCAAACTGACACGTTCGAACTTACGTGCGTGGCAGTCAAACGAATGTGTTACCTATTTATCATAGTCTTTTATCATAAATTGCGCGGAACCCCTGGCGATAGTCGTTGAAACCCCGGTTGGAAATTACTATGTTAAATGATTAGAAAAAAAAATGTCCTTTAGCGAATCGCAGTATTCGAGAGTTCGGGGTGAGTTGCCAGTTTTCCTTTTCTGGCATTAGACACACTGTAGCATCACAGAGGAAAAGGAAATATTTCCCCATCATTATTAAGCAAGACAAGAAAGTCTCATTCCTTCGTTGCACTGGAGTTGGTTAAGCTGTTGTCCTTCATTTAGGAATGATATTAATAGAAGCTTGAAATAATAATGGTAATTAGGAATGATATTAATAAAAAATATGATAATAATAGCAGTTAGGAATAATAGGAATAAGAGAGTTATGAAAACAGCAATAGAGAGGATATCAGCATCAGTTTGTGAGAATTGCAAATGTGGTCATAACAGCAGCTTCAATCTGGACTAACCTGAAGACGAACCCAACAAAATCGTCGTCTGTGGCTTCGACGATGAATGTTCCCTGGAAGTCGACGCCGCCAAACCGAATACTCCCTTGGTACGTGGGAAAAGGATGGCTCAATGGCACAGTACAAACGAATTTGCGTGTCTATGGCGTTGATATTGATCAAGATGTTAGTGATAATGATAATTATAATGATAATAATGATAACAGTAACAGCAATAACAACAAAATGATGTTAGTAATAATTTTGATGATAATTATGATAATGATAATAACAGTAATGATGAAAGTAATAATAGAAATTATGATGCTAACAGTAATGATAAAAATTATTAATAAAAATTATGATAAGAAAAACAATGATAATCCTACGAAAGTCCACCCTCAGTCAAATGTCAAGCTTTTGCCAGAAATAACACTAATTCGTCACATAATTCTACGCAATTTGAGGTGTAACTACGTACCTATGGCAAGAGAGGCTTTGTCTTTAAACCGCTGAAAGAAACCGGTCCTCGAAGGCAGAAGGTGATATTGAGGGAAAGATACACGAGCTGCGAGCAGGATGACAGTCACGTTCCTGTTGTTAAGACGACGCGTTGCTTATGCTTGTTTATATATATATATAATATATATATATATATATATATATATATATATATATATTATATATATATATTATATATATATATATATATATATATATATATATATATATATATATATATATATATAATATATATATATATATGCATATACATACATACATATATACGCATACCAAAATATAGACAAAAATAAATGCTACACCCATATACCGTACACAAACTCTGTGGTAAAAATCGCATTGTTTTCGGGGCAGTTATCGAGGGCGTCGTGGACGCCGTCCTGGTCGTAGTCGTTTTCGCAGACGTCTCCGACGCCGTCTCCGTCTACGTCGAGCTGGTCCGGGTCGTGGACGAGAGGACACTTGTCGACGCCGTTGAGGACGCCGTCTCCGTCGGCGTCGTCATCACACGCGTCGCCAGCTGCGTCGCCGTCGTGGTTGCGCTGGTCTGGATTGGCAACGTTCGGGCAGTTGTCTAAATCATCCTGGACGCCATCGCTGCCGGAGAAGTTATCTATAGATAATCCTTGATATATATGTACACATTCAAATTGTACTCATAGAAAATCTGCATTAGCGCGCGCGGGAGAGAAGAAAACCGCTATTGCGTTGGCAAAGGGCCGCTCTGCATTCCATAAGGTGTAGACCACGCATTAACATGAAACTAGAACACTGGAGTCTCTTACTAAGAAGAAGATAGAATCTACTCAATTCTAGTTTTAAGATAAGGCTAAATTAACTCTCCCAAGGTCGCATTACTACATGTGCATTCACAAAAACTTCCCTTACATTGGAGTTGCGGTTCGTTTTTCTTTGGAAAACTGTCATGCACAGCCAACTACAGTAACCTGTATCTGACTGCATGTAGAGTTTATTGTAAACCAGTTAACATTATTATTTTGATCCCAAGAATATTCTACAACATAACGCATTAATTGTAGGTACTAGAAGTGTCTAGGGAAATTTGGCCATGTCATGCACATAATTGAAATTAGGAGGAATCTCATATCCGCAATTTCGTCCCGTCTACTTGCGCTGACGAGGTACCTAAACAAGGTCATAGAACGCATTGCTAACAGTAAGTAACTGCATTTCTTCATACAGGAGAAATGTTATAGTTGACAAACAGTGCGAGTTCCGAAACAGACACTCCTTGGGGTTTTCTATGTACATATATCCTTAGATATGTATTGCATATATATATATATATATATATATATATATATATATATATATATATATATATATATATATATATAGTATATATATATATATATATATGTATATCTATATATACGTGTGAACTCTCACCACATGCATAAGAGGAAAATACCATGTTTAATAGTATGATTAGAAGCACAGTTCATACACAAAGACTCACCTATCAGTGTCAATGTTGGTATCACAATCATCGCCAACAAGGTCTTCATCTGTGTCATTTTGAAAAGAGTTAGGTACTTGAAGGCAATTGTCACAAGCGTTGCCAACGCCGTCTCCATCAGAGTCCAGTTGATCAGGGTTACTAACACTGATGCAGTTGTCATTGGCATTGGGGATTCCTGCAAGTTTATTAAATAATTAAGGCTTTTCCTTTTTCCTTTCTTTCTCTTCTTGCTTGGAAAATTTGTGTAAAATAGAATGTTAAGAAAACCGTGAAGAGAGAGAGAGAGAGAGAGAGAGAGAGAGAGAGAGAGAGAGAGAGAGAGAGAGAGAGAGAGAGAGAGAGAGAGAGAGAAAGAAATAAGCGCATTTAAATCTGTTATGAAAGCACCACGGTGTAAATATAAATTCAATAAATATTCAAATTTCTAAAAATAAATTCTCCACCATACGACAAATCAAAACTATTATGTATTTAAAAAATCATCTACAACAAAAATATCAAGATAAAATAACCCGTTATCTTACACGCATTCACTTATATATATATATATATATATATATATATATATATATATATATATATATATATATATATATATATATATATATATATATATAATATATATACATGTACATATATATATATATATATATATATATATATATATATATATATATATATATATATATATATGTGTGTGTGTGTGTGTGTGTGTGTGTGTGTGTGTGTGTGTGTGTGTGTATGTATGTATGTATGTACATGTACACAAAAACACACACACACACACACACACACACACACACACACACACACACACACACACACACACACACACACATAATGCTACACGTACCATCAGCATCCGCATCATCATCACATTCGTCACCCAAGCCATCACCGTCTATGTCACGCTGGCTCGGGTTTTTGACGGCGTAGCAGTTGTCACATGCATCTCCGTGGTCATCGTCATCGTAGTCTGCCTGGTCGAAGTTGATGACCAAAGGGCAGTTGTCCTGTATGGAGAGTTCAGGATGAAAATAAGTCTTTTTGTTTGGGATGAATATGTCTTTTGTTTAGTTTGTTTTTTTGTTTCGTTTTTTTTTTTTTTTTTTTTTTGTATACACACCAACAGAAGAACAATGATATACTATATAACTTTTTATGTACTGATGATTCACTGGAACCCTATATCGCGTTAATCCTCGGTACCTCTTATTATATCCTTCCTTGTCCTTTGCATGTCTTACCAAATCAGTTATATTTAGCCCCACATCCAACCTACTGACGCCAGTACTTAACCACAGCTGCGTCGGCTTAGCAGGACTGGCCATTTACTTACGAATCTCGTGTTCCTCCCGTCTCCGTCTATGTCGAGATCGCAGGCGTCGCCCACGTAGTCACCGTCGGCGTCGAGCTGGTCCGGATTGTAGACGTAGACGCAGTTGTCTTGAGCGCAGCGTTGGTCGAGGCACTCCAGAGCCACGTCAGGGTATCCGTCTCTGTCACTGTCGAGGCCACAGACGGTGCCATTCCCAGCTTGACCGTCTGGGCACTGACGGAAGAAGAAATGAAGGAAGGTCAATGACGTTGCAACAAGGTTCTTCCACAGTGCTTATGATATTCAGTATGTTTTATTCGCTTAACATTTTGTAAGGTGTACATTTAGGAGATATGTAATATCGATGTTACTGATGTTTGTCAATAAGAGAATGTTACACTGCAGGCAAGACATGTTTGTTTTGTTTTCAAATTGTGATTAATGTTTAAGGTAGATAAAGTTTACAAAGAAGAGATTGGGCATACCGGGGACTCAACCAACCACGCTGGGAATTTGGTGCAAGTGTAGAAGCTCCCGGTGAAGGTGTGGTTGCAGAAGCTTCCCTCAGGGCACACCGTGTGCTGGCAAGGGTCTGTAGGTATAAAGATTTTCATATACAGATGCACATATCATGGTACAGTACTTACTGTATGTATTGTATGCTAATGGATGTAAATAACGAGTATATAACTTTATTGACATGCATACCTTCTCGTACACACGAGAGAGAGGGAAAGAGATAGATAGAGAGAGAGAGGAAAGAGAGAATTATCCCTTCATCAAGGACTTACTGATACAGCTTTTTCCGTTCCCTGTGTATCCTGGCTTGCAAGTGCAAGTGTGGGAGGAGCCGACAATGTTGCAGTCAGCGTAAAAATGGCAATCCCAGCACAGAGGGTACATGGGGTCGTCCTCTACCTCGGCTACTGCTTGGGACGACGTAGGCAGGTCGTCATACATCTTTTGAGGGATCTTGTCTGTTGGGGAATGAGTTTGAAATAAGAGTTGAGGATGAGTGTGGGGGTTACATACTTATTTTTGTTCTACAAGGTACTTATTCGTTCTTTTGTACGCTAGTCACATTTTTTTCAAAGAAATTGTTAAATTCCTTGAAAGTTCCATTATCTCGTGCTAATCATGGAACGAATTCTGAAATATTACCTAAATATCATATTTGCAGAATTAATGTAATTACTTTTTTCTTTATGTTGTGATAACATAGACTTGCGTACATTCATGTCTGACGATTTTTGTACTGCATCCTATATCTTGCAACTCATTGAAGGTGTATACCTATGTCTCCCTCTGGATGATTTATCCATAAGACAGCCACAATAATAGAGGAAATACTCTTACGTTTACTGTTTCCTTTCATTACCATGGCCGGTTTTCATATCATCGTTATGCACATATAACTACATTTATATTTATATTCATATTCATCGACTTTAACACCGACCATATTACATTTTCAAGTCACATTCATATCGACACATCAACCATATTACATTCTACATCAATCACATCTCGACTCTTTACATCAACCAACACCAACGAACCATTACACTTATACTGCAGCTGCGCCCACATGACGTTATTCTGAGAGAAGCAAAAGGGGCCAAACCTCCCTCCTGCCAAACGGCTGTCGTAAATGTTGCCAGAATCGAGCAGCAAAGTCTTTCCGGAACTGAGATACAGCCGCAAGGCACCGATCAGCGGCCGGTGGAGGACTCGGAGGCGGTAAGACAGCTTCCTGGACCAAGGGAATCGGTCTTTCCACAATACTATGGTCTGGAAAGGACATGTTGAGACGGGTTCGATTCAGCCGATTTTTTTTTTTATTATTATTTTTGTAGCGGTATGTGTTTTCATATTTCTCAATTCTATTGTTTTTTCCTTCATCACTGATACTACGATTTATACTCATTATTAGTGTTCATGTATAGTCACTGTTGATATTATAAATAATCTAGCATAATTATCAATGACATTATCAACATCATAGAATCATGATTGCTAATATATTGCTTTTCAGTTAGCATTATCACTATGAATATTATCAGTAACCAATATCAAGATATTAATGTCAATATGATTTTTATCAATATCCAATGAATTTCACTATGAAATTCTTTGTTGAGTATGATATCAATAATATCATTGTCATCTTAATTGTATTATCATTACCAGGATCAATACCATCATCATAATCATCATATCAGTATTATTGTTGTTGTTAACATTATTCCTCTCTACATTACTATTGTTATGATGATAATAATGATTGTGATGATAATGTTAATGAAAATTATATATCACTAATAACTAGAAACACTCAGAGACCGCATACCTGCGTAAAGGGAATAAGGTCACTGATGCAATAAAATTATTCACACAAAGAATTACATCAAAATGACCTTTCCCAAGAACAAAGGCGACGTCCGTAAACATAACCTCCTTGGCGGATTCAAAATATTCTGGATCCAGAACACGATCCGGATCACCACCAAAATTTAATGACCTCTGTTAGGCTAAGACACATTTCTGGTAAAATTTCTTAACTTTTCATAACTTTTTGAGTTATCTTACTAACCAACCAACAGACAGACAAACTAACCAACGCGACCAAGAACATAACCTTCTTGGTAATAAGGAAACGCAAATAAAAAGTAACCTGGTTTCGATAGAAGGAGTAATCCAAATTAGAATTATCTAGATGTCGAAAAAAAAATAAACGTAAGCAGAAAAAAACACTTGTCACTTCTATTAATGGGACGGGAAGAGAAACTAATAAATAAACATATACTACATTAATAAACAAATATAATAAAAAACAGGTTATCACGTCTATTAATGCCAGGAGAAGAGAAATAAACCATAACAAATAAATAAAAAAATCTATAATTCCTATTCATGAGAAAGGAAAATAACCACACCGCCAACATTAGTTAACCAGAAAATTAAAATCAATAAATGAAATAAACTAAAACGAGAATCCATAATTTCTATTCATGTTTACACCCCCCTCCCCCCATCACTCACTTCCCCACTGGAATCGTCGGACCACAAGTCACTCCTGAGGGTAGATCCAGGTCCTTGAGCGCTGTCCACCCACTTCAGGAAGATCCCCTTGGCTGAAGAGGCCGAGTACTTGGATTCTTTGTCTTGCCTCCACATCACCACGTAGAAGGAGGAATGGTCACGGAAACTGTATAGAAAGAAGCCAATGGCGATGATTTTTTTTGTTTATCTGACTTTTTTGGGTTATCTATTTTTCTTATCTGCCTTTTTTTGTATTTATGTTTATTTTTGTTTATCTGACTTTTTCGGTTGTTTATTTGATTTTATCTTGTTTATTTGCCGTTTTTTGGTGTTTGTCTGTTTCGCTATTGTTGACAAATAGTTCTCGCTAATCATCTTCTAGTAGGTTTCTCGCTATTATTAAATTTTCACTATCTTCAACAAATTCACAATTTTCAACTAATTCCCACCATCTATTAATTCTCCCAAACTTCAACTAATTCTCACCATCTCCAATTAATTATCACAATCTTCAACTAATTCTCACCATCAGTTAATTCTCACAATCTTCAACTAATTCTCACCATCTTCTATTAATTCTCACAATCTTCTACTTATTCTCAGTATCTCCAATTAAAAGGGAAGAAAATAAAAAGGATCTACAAACCCGAAGGTAAATCCGACAAAATCGTCACCGTAATCGCTGTCCACAAATATTGTTACCTCCAAATCGACGCCGCTCACCCTGACGTTTCCTAGTAAGAGAGAGAAAAAAACGTAAAAAAAAGAGAGGAACGAATCCAGTCAAAATGGCATCTGTAGAAAAATGCTTCGAGGCAAGATAAATGTAGTTATCAAAAGGAGTGAAGGTGTATTTCAAGATAACTATGGCAGCGAAGTGTGAATGGAATTGCCATTGATACCAAGAGCCATCGTCGGATCGGATATCTTTGTTTCGTAGCTTTGTAAACCGTCCTTGGAGAATGTCCACTCTGGAGTGTAGTCAAAATACAGCTGAACTACCTGTAACGTCCTGAAAGAAAGAATACGATGTCATGCCGGTATTGTACCTTCGGTGTGAAAAGGAGAGACCCAGAATACTACACAAATGCAATACTATTACAGTTCTAGTGTATTATGTCAGAGGGAACGCGGTGTTACAACCAAAGCAATTCCGACTCACCCCAAGCTCTCATGCCAAAGAGCGCCACTATTCGGGCACGTGTCTGTGGCGTCCACGTGTCCGTCCCCGTCATAATCCTGCGAACACACGTCCCCCACGCCGTCTTCGTTAACATCCCCCTGGTAGGCGTTGGCGACGAGCGGGCAGTTGTCGTTGACGTTGAGGATTCCATCGTTGTCGGCGTCGTCATCGCACACGTCACCGACTCCGTCTGCGTCGGCGTCACCCTGGTCGCTGTTAGGGATGGCGGGGCAGTTGTCCAGGGTGTCCAAGATAGAGTCTCTGCAGGGCAATGTTACTGTGTAAGCCGTGGCGCGAATCCAACAATCATATATGATGAGTTGTATAAACTCTCATACAAAACAACAAGCATATATTGAATTCATGACGTAATTCATGTTTCACGTTTTTTTCTGTTCGCCTTTACATTTCATGCCTCGAAATCACATATCCAGTAAAAAGAGAACCCTTAATAATCCGCACTCACAAATCTGTGTCAACGCCATCATCGCAGGCGTCCCCGAAAAGGTTTGCGTTGCTGTCGACCTGGTCAGCGTTGGCGTCTTGGGGGCAGTTGTCGCAAGCGTCGCCCACACCATCGCCGTCGAGGTCCAGTTGGTCGCTGTTGGCCACTTCGATGCAGTTGTCGACGTCGTTTGTCACGCCTGGATTGCAATCATGTTTCTTTTACTTGTTTTTCTCCTTCTATATACCAGGTATTGATGTCTATTCTTTTATTTTAGTAATGTTAAACAGACAGCTTTTCACTAGCGTTACCATCGTCATCCGCGTCGGCATCACAGACGTCACCAGCCCCGTCGCCGTCAGCGTCAGACTGGGTCGGGTTGGCGTCGTTGGGGCAGTTGTCGCAGTCGTCCCCGAAACCGTCTGCGTCGGTGTCACTTTGGCCGGGATTGTACACTAGCGGGCAGTTTTCCTGTAGACGGCAAAGTGCCACAAGATAATTACAGAGCATACTTGATATATAATATACAGTGTGGTATCACCTTTCGCAAGTTCGATTTTTTTCCAGCTCGTGAAAGGTATTGCATGACCGAAGCAGACCTCACCGCACTATCGGCTAGCCCGTCACCGTCGGCGTCATCGTCGCAAACGTCACCAAAGCCGTCGCCGTCCACGTCTCCCTGGTCCGCGTTGGGCACCACCGGGCAGTTGTCCCGACGACATTGAGGATCGACGCAAGGCAGATCTATGTTGGGGAAGCCGTCCAGGTCGCTGTCAGGGCCGCAGGTCACACCATCACCTGCAAAGCCTGTCGGACACTGCGACAAAAAGAAATTACTGTTTAATACTTTGTAATTCCTAAATAAATTCCTTACGTCGACAGGTATGTTACTTCAAAATGAACGCATTTTAGAAAAAAATTCTTACAAGAGCACAATGCCCAATAATTGACCCACCTCTAATTTTATGCAATAGCTACCATTCCCACTGTACCCGTAGGGGCAAGGACCGCAAATGAACAAAGTCTCGTTGAAGGTAACATTGCATGCAACTCCAGGGAAACAGGTATTCAGCTCACAGGCATCTGGAAAGCAACAGGTAACATTGCATG